ATATCCCAAATTAATTTAATATATGTAATAAATAGGGTCAACCCTCAAAGTTGTTTCAACACTGTCAGCTGGTTACGATCATTTGGATGTTCCTGAAATTAAAAGAAGAGGTATCAAAGTCGGTAATACTCCTAAGGTTTTATCGGCTGCAGTTGCAGAGATTGCAGTATTTCTGACACTGGGCGCAGCAAGACGAACTCACGAAGGACGCCTAAAACTCGAACAGTAATTAGAAGCGAATTTGATTTTTTATTCTTTCCCTTTTAAAATATACAATTAGTTCAATAACGAACGATAAATCTAAGCTAAAATTTCTTCGAACGTTTTAGAACAATGCATTTAACAATTTTATTTATGAAAAATATTTTAATATTAATATATGTATATGAAGCCGCAAAGTGTTAATTATATATTTTTTTGAAACGTTCCTTTTTTTACGACAGGATGTAGTAATTAGTTTACTTATTGTTTAATATATCTTTGCATTAAAAAATTACTGAACTAAATTCTTATAAGCGTTCGAATTATTACATTATCACAACGATTTACTTTTGAGTATAGAGTTAATCGTATTAACATTCTGAAATAAATTATTTATTATTCAACGGCCAATCAAGTATTTTAGCATTAGAATTAAAAAAAATTAAAAAAGTGAAGTTAACCACTTTGCCCTGTAAACAGCTCACATAAATCTCTCATAAATTTTAGGGGCCGAGTGGGAAAAAGTTTTCAATGGTTACTTGGTCGAGATTTAAGGGGATCAACAGTTGGCATTGTTGGTTTGGGCAATATTGGACAAGCTATTGTTAAACTTTTGAAACCATTTGAAGTAGATCGTTTCCTCTATACCGGACATTCTCGTAAAAAAGAAGGTAGTTACGGATACATACATGAAAATAAAATGTGTATTCTTGTTGTACATTTTTTTTATTTTAATTTTTTGTAGGGGATGAACTTGGCGCTAAATTTGTATCTCTCGATGATCTTCTTGAACAAAGTGACTTTACGATCGTTGCTGTTCCGTTAACTAATGAAACTAGAGGAATGTTCAACGATAATACTTTCGGTAAAATGAAGAAAACCGCGGTATTCGTAAACGTCGGTCGCGGCCAAGTGGTAAATACGAATGCCTTGGTTAAAGCATTGCGTAATGGAACAATTTTTGCTGCGGGTCTTGATGTCACGGATCCTGAACCACTGCCTCCTGATCACGAACTTCTTCAACTGCCTAATGCTGGTGAGTACAGTGAATTGCATACAATAAATATTATAAACGAAATGTAAAAATAAACTAATATTTTTATACTTTGTTTATATATCATTTTATTAGCAGAAATTCTAATCTACAATCTTATATAATGTGTACACGTTAGTTAATCGTAAAAATGTGTAGCAAAGTTTTATATACATTAATACCTATACATATATATAATATATTCCAGTGATCATACCCCATTTGGGTAGTGCTACTATAAAGACTCGTGTTGACATGTCACTTGCTGCAGCCCAGAATATTCTCAATGGATTAGAGGGTAAGCCATTGTTGTATGAATTGTAACAAATGTATTTTCTCATATGTATGATGTATTAATATTTGTTATACAAGTTAAGACTATATATATATATATATATTCATTTAAAGTAAGATAATGATACAGTGATATATTCCTGGTATATTTAAGAATATTAACTGACACATACATATATAACATATATTTTAATATCACTTCTTT